CAATAGTATTTTCTGAGAAAAAAATATGCTATTATGCCCTGATATCAGGACGAAATTCTGGCTATGCACTGTACACGGAATAAGATGTCTCTCAATTCATATACACATATAATACCATGTTCACACACACACAACATATAAAAACATATTAATACTTGAGTCCATATGCACATGCATGTAAGAACTAAGACGTGAAAGAAATAGTTAGAGAAAAGAGAGTGAAATTATATTTCCTTTTTACCGCCAGTTCAACGTCAGTTTTTGCAGAAGCTTGTTCTTTGACCAATTTCTCTGGAGAAAAAGCAAATCTAAGAGACCGGTATCATCTAGACAAACATTTCACAAACAGTCAACTGAAAAAAACAACAAACTCCGTAAACATTAGACTAGCCTGCAGTGAGCTTCAGATTCGCGAAACTTCCCAAAGAAACCGAGTCGGAAGACAATCGCGAAGAAATCGATAGTGTCTTTGCAGATCCTGACGAAGATTTGAACTGTTCCAGGCTCCTTATTCCTGACAATCCTTGTAGCCTACTCATATTTAAATCGCGAAGAAATTTAGCGCGAAGCTCCTATTCCTCGAATTTATACTGCGAAAATGCAACAAATCAATTCCTAGAAATCCAAACCAAAGATCTCGCTATCCTCTAATTTTGTAATTGATTAAAATAACAAACTCCAGAATATTGATCGCCAGCTTTCAGATTGAAGTTTTGGAGATTCAAGGGATTGAAACTAAGAGCTAAAAATCAGTTTAAGATTTCGCTGCGAACAGATTCGTCAAATTAAGCGTTACAATGCAAAACGGACTAATCGGAAAAAACAAAAGCCTAGAAATTCGACTGCGAAGACTGAACTTTTCATGAAATTTTTTCAGCGAGGTTACGAGAGTGATTATTATGGTGTGTGCTATTGAAATGAATGTATAAAGCGCCAAACGACGGGAATATTTATGGGAAGATTTCATAACCAAGACGCTGAGTTTTACCCATTTTAAATGTCAGAGTTTTTTTAATTTTATTTATAAATTAATTAATTAAGCGTATATTTTATTAATTAAGTCCCTGTTTGGTAAACATTAAAATTTTCATTCTCATTCTTCTACTCATTTTCAACCACACATTCTTCAATAAAATAATATTTCTCATCACATCAATAACTTTTCCTTCTTTTTCAACCACATATTCTCCATCAATCTACTATTTCAGAATACATTCTTCCAAAATAATGTGGATCAAACACATCCTTAATTTCAA